TCTTGTTCCTTAATTTTTTTAGTAGTGTGCTTTACAAATATCATCACTTTTGCCTCCAACCATGTTTTTATCAGTCTTTGTGGATTTCTTCTATTCTTACCTGTACCGCACATATAATCTAAATAAGCGCAATCTTTTAATGGACTAGTGCTTATCTTCTCAAATTACCACCCGAATCTGCCCGCATTGAAAAAAGTTTTACGGTTCTTACCAAAATCATTTTTCGTGTTCGTCTATAAAATATAAACATCATTTAAATAAAATAACATGTAAGTAGAGTACAAAATTATTAGTAGTAGTAGGTAGAAGTCCTTCCTCATGCTGTTATTATTGATGTCTGACATTGCCACCTTCCTTCAAGATATTGGCGTTAATGTTCTGAAAGTTTGCGTGAAATAAGTGGCAGGAAAAGATATTTTCTTTTCTAATAAGCAGATGTTTTGCTTTTCAGTATAATTATTCTTCGACGCATGGGAAATGATAATTATATGCCCTAAAATAGCACTTAACCTCGAAAAAAAATATCATTTGGTCACTTTGGAATGCATTTGTTCACAGGATTAATTTTGAAACAATTTGAACACATTCACGTTATACGTTAAAATTGAGCTTCTACCCTACACCTTGTGTAATTTTTATTAATCATGGTTGGTGAATAGCTCAAAAAACTATTGTATCAATATAGGTATCCTAAATCCAAATTTCCATCCATTATAGGATTTTTGTTAGGTCAAAAGTGTTCATTTCCTGGGCTAATTCTATTTAGGTGCCCAGGATTCGATTGTTTTGTCCTAATCACAGGTACGCAGCTTTTTGAAAATCTGCACACTCGGTTCACCCAAAAAGCGAGTTTTCATATAAAACAGATACGCCAGAGTTCGAGTCTTTTGAAATGTTCCTATTGAAAACCTCAAAGTTTGATCGGACTCATGTCTCCCGACTTTGAGGTAAAAGTTTGTGGTACTGGTCTACCGATACTGAACCACTGAACGATTAACTGCGTTGAAGCCTTGAGGTGGGTACTGACCGACGCTACGAGGTGTAATGTAACATTCCCACCGAATATGTTCGCATCGCGTATGTACGCATTGTGTTCGAAATCGGTGTAACATGCTCGTTTGAAATATGTGCTCCATATTCGCACCAGCCAAGATGTCTGACGAGGAGATTGTGTTGGGATCTTTGATTTTGCTAAACTATTGTTTAATCCAAATTAAGAAGAAGAAAAAACGTTATTGGACGTCAGACTTATTCAAAAACAGACACGTATCGGGTGGTTTGTCATTGATAGCAATATTAAAAAACCAAATGATTAGTGGACAGTATAAAAACATTGTTCGCATGTCTCCGATCGATTTTGAAGAACTCGTGAGTTTAATTGGACCAAAAGTACATAAAAAGGATACAAATTATAGAAAAGCAATCAGTGTCATGGAAAGATTGGCACTAACACTACGTTTTTATGTGACAGGAGATTCCTATACTAGTATGCAATAGCTTTTCAAGATTTCAAAGCTACGGATAGGATTTATAGTGAAAGAGGTCATCGAAGCTTTGATTGGAGTATTAAAAGATTACGCAAAGGTACGTACTGTTTTGATTAATTGAGAAAAAGTATTCATTACATATCAAATTAGATCAGCAAATTCTGATGGAAATTGTTCACTCGAAGTTGGAGACCCACAGTCAATTTGATCAGGCGTATGTGAAGCAGGTGCTTCAGGGCTTTGCTGTGGCATCGATGGAGCTCTTGAAGTTGTTGGTCGTGTAGAGTATCCTTGTGAAGAATTATAGTTATAATCGCCAACATACTCATACTCTCCGCGATCAGCACTAAACAATATATTGATATGTAATGCTGAACATATGTACTTGTTGTCTTTGAATAAGATCTTAATTTATCTGCCAAAAAAATACCATACGCTTCACATTCGTCAAGTTTTTGTGAAGTTGACTCCGTTTTCTCGGTTCTCTTTTTTAAAATATTTATTTAAAGTAGATGTCATTATCTCTTCCGGGTTGGGGGCTACTGCTTTCTTCCTTTTTGGAGGCAGAGGCAATCAATGTTGCTTGGTTTGGCAGATGGAGGGCACTCAGTGTTGCTTTGTTCTGAAGGAGCAGCGCGTAGCTGAAAATAAACGTAAATAATTATTTCAGATGCCAGAAACACCGGAGCAATGGATGGCTGTAGCAAATGAGTATGATACTTTGTGGAATTTTCCACACTGCCTAGGAGCAATCGATGGAAAACATATTATACTGCAGGCACCGATCAACAGCGGAAATGAATTTTATAATTACAAGGGTTTCCTCAGCATTGTATTATTGGAAGTTTTTGATGCAAAATATAACTTTTTGTACGTATGCATTCATGAAGTCAAGGAAGAATATCCGATGGAGGGGTCTTCAACAACTGTGAATTGAACGAAAAAATACAAAATAATGCACTGAAAATTCCTGAGCCCACTGATGCCTTGCCATCAAGAACGGAAGAAGTTCCATATTACTTTGTTGGAGATGAAGCTTTTGCTCTATCCGAAAATATGATGAAAGTATATTCAGGATATCATGAACGTGGTTCTAAAGAAAGAATATACAACTACCGACTTTGCAGAGCTCATAGAGTGGTGGAAAATGCGTTCGGCTTATTATCTGCAGTTTTAAGAGTTTTGCGGAAACCAATGCTGTTAGAACCAAAAACCGCAACATCTGTTGAAACAGCAATAACACTACTTCACAATTTTTTAAGAAAAGGTAATAACGCTCATGTATGTACCCCTGCGGGTAGCTTGGACGAAGAAACTAATGGGATAGTCAGATTAGGAAACTGGAGAGAAAGTAACAATGATATGGCGAGTATGTTACCCTTGGAAATAAGACCGCGAAGGGCTTCAAGAACTGCTCATAATATTCGTAATGAAGTTGCTGAATATTGCATCCAAGAAGGGTCTGTCAGCTGGCAAGAAAATTATGCTAAAATAAAACTTACCGTATCTGTTGTGGCAACAGGTGTATTTCTATCCAGTAGAAACATCATAGTTTTGTATGCAAACCAAGTACTATGATATACTTCTTCAGCACCTGAAAATAAAGTATTTTTGGAATATAAAACATACCTATATTTATTTTATTTATGTTGTTCTTAAACTAATACTGCCCTCGTTTTGTCTTTGAATCTGACACGTGGCAGCATAACTTGACATACAACTTAACTTTAAAATGTGGCTGAGTATTTTGGGGGCTAAAGCTACCCTTTCCTGTACCTCTTGATCTTTTTATTTTCACTTTTTCCCTCCTCAATGACGCCAGTAAGCTTGTCATTTTCGTTTTACACGTATTTCTTTCGCTCTCCATTAACAAAGCCAATCTATCCCAGGTGTCTTCTTTTTTTAATTTGTTGTAGTGCTCTGGATGAGCTGGATTCCACAATACCGATTCTTCTCTATATTTTTCGATGAAATGCAGAGTTCTTTCTTTGTTCCACCCCATATTCCTAATAATAAACGAACAAATAAACGAAATGAACAACGTGTGCGCGTGCGCTCATCTAGTGCGCTCGTCACGACTTGTTGCAGCGTACTGACCGAACCGCGTAACACTCAAAGGATTCGCCGAAAAACCGACAGCCGGGTGGAGCACTCAAAGCGAGCAACGAGCGGCTCGTTGCTCGCTGGTTTTCCCGTAATGCTGGCAGTACACGCTCGTCGAAGCCATCCGAATGCGAGACTCCCCGATGCGAGGCGCCCCGAGGCACGAGGCCCGAGGACACCGTGTATACTCTCGCAGTAAACATCGAACCGGCTCCTTGTCTAGATTCGTGCGAGTGATGGCCAAGATCGTGGAAATTTGTGTAGCTGTAGCCTATGCTGCTTATTGTTACTATAAATATTTGCATATTATATCAACTTCAAAATCAAGAAGCCTTGGAAGAAAAGAAGATGGTGGGTGAAATCAATCAATCGAAATAGAACGAGGTAGGTATATACTGACATTATTACGTAATTTGATTAGATTTTATAAAGTGTTTTGTGTTTGATTTGATTTTTTATTTTCGTATAGGGAACACATGGACAGACAGTTGAGCGAATTGTTAATGGAACCTGGTGGTGAATTTGAAAATTTTACTCGAATGCCTCTAGCTGATTTTGAGTATCTTTTAAATATAGTCTCACCAATGATTTCCAAAAAAGATACTTCAATGAGACAGGCAATAACTCCAAAAATACGGCTAGCAATTACTTTGAGATATTTAGCCACAGGCGACAGTTTCAAGAGCCTACATTATTTATTTAAAGTTTCAAGTGAAATAATATCGCGGATTGTTCCGGAGGTCTGTGCAGCACTGAATGAGGCTTTGAAAGATGAAATTAAGGTAAATAGATTCATTTGCATTTATAGAGCTACAGTTTTATTATAAAATGTTTACATCTACATGTTGAAATGAGTAGTTTTCGAGTTGGTGTCTGTTTTTCCTCCAAAGGTCATATACAGTGCTTGGCTGATAGGATCAGATTCCTGTATGTGTTCTTCCATTTGGTCCTGGGCATGCTCGTTGATACCCTGTGATGAGGCATAGGAACAGTTATTGCTGTTTGCAGATGTAGGTCGAGAATACGATAAGGAAATTAGCGATGAGTTCGAAGGTGGTCCATTGGAACAGGATGGCCTGGCGACGGAACCATGAGATGGATGCATTGCCCTGAGGACCATTTCGTTAATATCATGCATCAAGTATTCTCTTTGAAATTCCGGAATTTTTCGTAGTTTTTTCGCCAACATTCTACCGTATAAATCGCACTCGTCCTCTTTTTCATCATTTCTGGACACAACATTCTTCACCCATGAGAAGGCTTCCTTCATTTCACTTTCTGCTTGAAGCAATTCCGTAGGAACTTGGCGACGACGATATCTTTGCTGAGAGATTGGTAAGGGTGTTGGTCGGTGAGGTTTGGCTACAAGTGCTGCTTGCTGAGACTTAGCTGAGGGTACAACATTCACTACTTCATTGATTTCTGATTCTGATTCTTGAGATGTGGGCTCGAGGGTTTCGTTATCAAGAGAAATCTGAAAAATAAATACATTTTATTACATATTAACAATATTAACAATAAATGTAATTTCTTATCTTTTTGCAGATGCCGTCAACTACAGATGAGTGGATAGAAATTGAAAAAGGATTTAGAGATAATTTTCCCCACGCCATTGGAGCAATCGACGGAAAACATGTTGTAATCAAATGTCCTGATCACACTGGATCAGAATATTACAATTACAAAAGAACCTTTAGTATTGTTCTTCTAGCTGTAGTAGACAGTAAATATCGATTTATATTTTGTGACATTGGAAGCCAAGGAAGAATCAGTGATGGCGGCATACTTAGAAATAGTGTGTTATGGAAAAATATTTGTGAAAATAAGATGAATTTTCCTCCACCTTGCCCCTTACCCGGATTAAACGTCGATTTACCATATGTTTTCTTGGGAGATGGTGCTTTTGCATTAAGCGAGAACTTAATGAAGCCATATCCTGGCGATCATAAATTGAATACTCCCAAACGTATTTTCAATGAAACATTGTCAAGGTCTCGTGTATTGTCTGAAAATACTTTTGGAATATTAACTTCCAGATTCCGATTTTTCAAAAAGCCAATCGAATTGATGCCCGAAAAAGTGACGCAGTTAACAATGACATGTGTACTTCTACACAATTTTCTTATGAAAAGTTCTAGTTCAAAAAACATTTATAACCCGTCGGGCACTCTTGATAAATATGATAACGGCGTTTTTATTGAAGGGGCTTGGAGGCAACAAGTACCTCAAAACTGTGCTATTCGATGTGTACCACATATTGCTCGTCGATCACCGATTAGTGCGACTAAGATTAGAGATAATTTCACTGAATATTTTGTGAATTTAAGAAACAAATAAAATATTGTATGACAAGTAATAAGTAATAGTTATTTTATTGAATGTACCTACCGTGTCTTGACTGTTTATGGTAGGGTGGCAGTCATATATTTGACCAAGAAAAGTTTCCATAAGCTGTATGCAAACCATATAGGCTTGTATATATAATCGCCCCCAGCACCGCTCCTAATGGACGCCTTGTTCCTTCTTAAGTGACCCCGGAAAGTGGCCATTAAAGAATCTTTTTTCTTCTTTAATTCTGCCACAGATTTGCCTGTAGATTCAGAGATTCGATTCCAGGCGTCAGCTAATTTCTCTTTTCTTTTATGATTTTCGTCAGAGGGATCCCACAAACAAGGTTCGCTCTGAAAAAATTCCTAAAATCATTTGTCCACTCCATTTTAAAAATAAACAATGTCAACCAATATAGCCGCAAACGAAAACTAATCACGCCACAAATTCCACTGTACAACAAGAGACCAGCGTGTGCCGAGGTCGCCCGAATATACCATGTCCACGCTCGCGAGACCTCCCACTTACGCTCTCGGTTCCGTTGACTCGCACTGGGAGACCGCTTCTACACCGAGCGCTCCGAGGGCAAGGCGAGAGGGTCTAGGGCGAGGCGGGAATAGTAAGTACACTCTCGCGCTCGTCTCATCTCGGATAGCCTCGGCGAGCGTGTACTGCCGGCATAACACTACGTATAGATCGACCAGCCAAAGATTGCTAGGGACGAAAGGGGGGAAATGCGGTGAAAAAACCTTACCATTAGACGATTTATATGGAGTCATAGGCGGAGATCGGAGAGACTTGAATTATTAATTGAATTTATATTTATTACAACTGGTAGTATTAATATTTTTTTGCGATTCATAATGACGTGATACCAAACATACATTATAAGAAATAAATATACACAAACACTGAATATTGAGAACAAAATAAATATATTTTTTAGGCAACAAGTAATATTCCTATGTACGCATTATGATTGAACAGCAAACAAATTATGCATTCTTCTAAAATAGAATACAACAAGTCAAAAATATCTGACTGAATAGAAAAATATAGGAAAACAAAAAGTAATTTCTTGATGAAATAACCCATAAACAACACATAGAATTAGACTTTCTACTGAGATACTAAAAGCACAAACCAATAGTATAATAAATGAATATCTAAAAATTCTAAAAGGTAGCCATCTAGTATAGTTTCAATCCTGATTAGAGTCATGATCACTGTCTGAGGAACTGTCATTGCTATCACTTTCACCTCCTATGTTGATTATTATTCTTCCTGTATTCTTGAATGAGACTGTCTTTTTCCCAATATCATCTTCAATTTTTATAACATGTCCAATAACCTTTTGCCAGTCACTGGCACTTACTGAAGCGATGGCCTTATTAGAAATTTCATCTAGTTTTTTATAGTAAATTCGCCGCTTGTATTATGGCTTCTAATGAAAAATTTTACTTGTGCCCAAATCATCTCTATGGGATTAAACTGACACATATAGGGTGGCGTTCGAAGTGGGGTGTGTCCGAAACTTCTTATTAAATTATCTATCTTATAATTTTTCTCATCAGATGGTGGCCTATGTAGACAAGCTATTTCATAAAGCTCCATTTTTTAGCATTAGGATCATGCTCTATACCTTTTTTGCTCAACCACGTGATGATGTCTCTTTTTAGAGAAGATCTAGTTGGAGGCTTGTCTTCCAAAGCTGAATGGTAAGGTGCATTATCCATTATTATAATACTATTAGGAGGAATGTTAGGAAATAGTTTTTCAGTAAGCCACTTCGTGAAATTTTCTTGGTTCATTTGACCGTGATAATCACCAGTGGCACAGCCAGCCTTGAAAATGAGACAGGCTCCAGGAACAAAACCATCTTGCGAACCCGCATGAACACTTATAAGTCGTCCTGGAAATGAATAAATAGCCTCATTTTAGTGTTATTTTAAGTTTGCCAACACCTTTTTGAATCACTATGTATAAAAAACATATTTTTGAGAAAAAAATACTTGCAAGGGATTATGTATTCAATTAGACAAATTAAATGAGCACTTATTAAGAATATTCCAAAATTGAGAAAAATGTATAATAAGCAAAATCGAGGTGAAAGAAACTTTATTACCTGTAGAACTTATATTGCTCAGGACACCCATAATTTCTTCGCTTTGCCAGCATTTCTTGAAAGTGAGGTCATTATCAACCCAAGTTTCGTCCAAATAAATAATATGCCTTCCTTCTTCCCGGAACTTTTTAATAGACCTAAGATACTTGTATCGCCAATGTAAAATACTGGGTCTTTCCATTAGTAATTTCCTTTTGTTGTGGCATTTACGCCAGTAAAATCCTTTTGCTTTTAAAAGCAGCCTCAACGATTCTTTACCAAATGGAAATTCCATTTCTTCCTTCAGTTTGATTAGAAGTTTACTACAAGTAGGTACCACTTTAAAATCACAGTAAATTTTTCTATCATTCTCCGAATAATGGAAAAATCGACTCCATCAATTTTTTGGATCACAGAAGGGCGTGATCTCTTTTTTCCGGGAGAAGCTAAAGGCTGTGTGGAGGTTGCATTTTGCCTGTCTTTATCTTCTTTTCTAATTTTACTTATAGTTCGTTCACTAACACCCGTATAATATGCCGCCCTTGCATTTCTAGCTACCAGTGGATAAACGAAAGTATTGTTAGCCGCTTCTGCATCGCAAGCACGTATCACGTTTGCTATTATTTCCCTTGCCTGGCTGTGAATAACTTTCCCATGCTTGAATTCCATTATCACCACTAAACAGTAAATTATATTTTCAAAGTATTTGCCAACTGCCTACGCCTATGGGAGTAGGTTTATAAATGACCGTGCCATCGGCACGTTATTCTAGTTTCAGATAAGATAAGAGTTTTGGACCAATCAGCGACCGGATGTTTACCTGCGGCCTGGGTTTTCCAGCTACATTGCCAAATTCAGCGGAACAATTCTATATCTTAAATATGTTAATATGTATGGACCGCATTTTATGTAGAACATCTGACAACTTCGCAATTTTTTGTCCGCATTCTTTCGGCTTGCAATCTTTCGCTGGTCCAATACTGACTGCATGAATGTTCGGTGTGTAACATGTTACATTACGCCTCGTATCGTTGGTCAGTACCCACCTTTGAGCGTTGTTTCTGTATCACTGTATCACTGGTTGCATAGCATAGCATATATTTTGTTTTGATGTCGGTCGCACCGGCCGCTTTGATTTAAATCATTTAATTTTTCACTTTTTTAAACTTTTTAATTATGTTCAAGTTCAATTTCTCAGCAGATAATACGGCAGAAGCAGAAGAACAACCCAAAGGTAATTTGTTATGCAAATTCCTTATTTCGATAACCTCACTTTCTTCTCTACAGTTATTCAAACTGAAGAAACATGGGAAAAAAGCAAACAAATACAATTTAAGGACAGTAGCATTTTACAAGACATTTTAAAAAATGCCTCAACTATCAATTTACCAAACTACCCTGATTGCAAATACATAGACCCATCAGAAATTGTGGACATACTTCA